TGTGGTTTGATCATTTTTCTGACCCTGGAGCAGATGTTCCTTTACCTACTGAATCGATATATGAGGATGATTATTTTGACAGCATTTTTTCCTCCACCTGCTTTTGCTACACCTTCTGATTCCAATACCATTGATCTTCCTAGACCAATCTCTTCATTTTTACATTTTATTTCTCAGGTTTGTTACATTTTGTCCATTTTTCCTGTGTATTATGATTCTTCTCACTCCCTCCTTCATTCAGCCCCTACTACTGATTATTTTGATCTCCCTTCTTTTCCTGATATTCAGGTCTGTGCTGATCAGTTTCTTTCTCAATTTTGTGCTTGTGTCAGCATGCCTCATCGTCCTCCTTTAGAGGATACACATGGCTTAGCCTGTCATACGGCTGATTTTCCATTTCGGGACTCTCAGAACTTGGAATTGCTTATTCAAGCGTGGGGGGGTTAGTATCCTTTACTTTCTTTTCATTAGCCCAATTCTTGCATCTTCATCTCATACTTGAAAATCTGTTGTGCTGTGTTTCCTCTGTCCACCTCTTTCCTGAGGCTATCCACTGTTCACCATGGGGATTTTTGGCAGATACTCATTTTCTTGACATTTAAACTTTCATGCATTTATCTTCAACCTTATCTCTCCATACATGGTTACTTTGTTGCTGGGACTTGTTAGGTGGGGATAACTTTCTTTCTCAGATTTGTTTACTTACTTGCCTCTTATCTAGTAGAACTTTGCCTGACTCCGTTCTTCTGCCAGAATGTTTTGGGAGCCTACCAGATTCTTTGGAATCTCATGTGGAGGTTGCGTGCCAACACTCTTCGATTTCTTCTCTGGTTTCCAATTATTCACAAGCCTCTCCTTCAACCATATCTATATCTTGTCCTCCAGCTTCCTCTCCTCTCTGTCTTTTTGCTCCAATCTGTCATTACTTTACCCACAGATTTCAGCACTGTCAGTATCCACAGTGACTCTTAGGATTAGGTACAGTGGGAGCACAGTTTGCTCCATTTGCAGACCTATGTTGCCCATTTTCAGCTGATTGTTGAGTCCTTCGAGTACTGTCAGAGGGTTTGATTTTCCTCTCCTCCTCCTTTGGCTCCCATTTCCATTTCTTTCTCTTCTGTAAGGGATATGGTTTGTCACCAGCATCCGTCTGAGGCAGTGTTGACCTACTAGTGAAAGGTGCTATTGATTGGGTTTTTTATTCCTGTCAATTTGTAGTTCCAAAGAAAACGGGATTGGCATCCAGTATAGATCTTTCACTCCTCAATTGATTTGTTGACTTATCTTATTTTATCATTGAGACTTTTCTCACCCTCAAATGTGCCTTTTCTTCAGATTTTTGGATGAACAAAGTGGATGTCTCAGATGATTACCTGCACTTTTTCATTTCCCCAATATCCAGGGGTTATCTCTGGTTTGTTCATTGGAAACAGGGTTTCAATTCTGCACTCTCCATTTTGGCCTAGTTTTTTTTGTTAGGTAGGCAAAACTTTTGCTTAACACATGCATGGCTTGAGACTGCAGTTTCACCATTATATAAAGAACTAGCTAGTTTTAGCTCTGTCTCAACAAGCCTCCTAGACTATTCTTTTCTCCTGCTTAAGAAATTAGTGTGTCTGGGTTGGTTGGTCAAACTGGGGAAGTCGCATCTCACACCTACTCAGTGTCTCATTTGAGTGTGTTTTTAAATTCACATCTTAGCAAAGCCCAGCCTTCTCTTCTTCATTTGGACATGGAGCAATTATTTTCCAATACTATATCCTGACATCTCACTGTGTGGGAGTTTCTGTCTCTTTTGGAGACTTGTGCTTCTATGGAATCTCTTGTCCCCTAAGATCATGCTCATATGCATCATCTTCAATGGACTCTGAATGATCAGTGGAACCTCGCTTGGGATCCCTTTCTTTCACCATTCACCTTTCTCCTTCCTTGCTCATTGACATCTCCTAGTGGCTCGACAAAACTAATACCACCAAGGGTGTTCTTCTTTCTCCCTCTCATCTGTATCTCCATCTATTTATAGATGCATCCTTGACAGGGTAAGAGTGTATTTTCACTCTCAAGAGATTTTGGGTTGGTGGTCCCATGATGACTCAGCCCTTCATAACAATTTTTTAGAAATTTTGGTGGTACATCGAGCAATAGGATCATTTTCTTTTGATGGATTTTAGATGTCTACAGTTGTTTTGTATATCAATTGCCAGGGGGGCATTCAGTTTCACTTCCTCTGTTTCCACACACACTGGGCCTATTCTTTACAAGTATGTCTAGTAGCTAGTCATATTCTAGGTGTCCTGAATCTTGTCACTGATCATCTCTCCAGGCTCAACGAAATACTACCTACAGAGTGATCCCTCAATCCTCTAGTTTCAAGTGGCTGTCGAGTGGCTCTTGTCTGGGCACTCGTTTTGTAGATGCATCATTTGACACTCATCTCAACACCAAACTCCACCTTCTTTAGTCTCCTGTTTCTCATCCATCAGCTCTAGCTGTGGATGCATTAAGTCAGATCTGGTCCAATTTTTTTTCTATGTCTACTCTCCTATTCGTCTTCTTCCTCATTTGCTTTCCCTCATTCAGGACACACTGTGCTGAGTTTTCCTAATAGCTCCATATTGGCCAGCTCAGCTGTGGTTCCTTCTCCAATCTTCTCCTCCTTTTCTTCTTCCTCTGTCATGCTCCCTACTCCTTCAATCTCATTCCTTCCTCTCCCATATGGCAGCCTTCCTTCTTCCTTGTTCTGTTCATCTTTCACCCCCTCTTTATCTATCAATGAAATCTAACACTTCCTCCCTTTGAACCCTTAGCCTATTGTTCCTTGTACTATCTTTCACTTAAAACCTATTTCTTACTTCTTTTTTCCTGTGACTGTTAAAGATCTGCCATTGACGATTCCTGTATTCTTTTCATTGTTCTAATATTCTTCTTTTTCATGATTGTGCTTGTCAACCTACAACATCTGTGGCTCATGAAAGGGACAACATGTTCACTCCTATTTTCCTTCCATTCATTCTTACCATTATACTTCTTCTGCTCCTAATCATTTTCTCTGTCCCATCTGTGCAGTTTGATGTTATTTGGCCTGCAATGCTCCTTTTTTTGAGGTTGATGCTCATGTCTATTTATTCTTTCTAAATCCTCATCTACCCGAGATACTTCTTCCATTACCCTCATGGAATGACTGTGGCAGTTCATCTGTTTATCGTGTGTTTCATTGGATGTAGATTTAGGTTGATTTTTCCATGTAACCTCTTTCCAAATCCAACACCTTACTCTCTCTCTGGCTGCTCACTTTCATTGCCCATTGGATGAGATCATGCAGGCTGACATATGGACAACTCCACATATTTTCATCTCTCATTATCTTCATCAGGTTACAAATTTTCTCCTGTTGCCAATTTATGTACATCTTATTGGCTCTGACTGAGTAAGTTCTTTGTCATTTCTCTCTTACCTTTCCAATAGCCATATTTTACATCACTGGATTCCATTAGATGGCATGTGGTGCCTGCCAGGGTATTTTTATATATATGATATATACTATGTGGCTATTTGAGTCTTATAGTGCTTACTGAGAACATGGGCTGTTCCAGAAAACTGCTAGAGGTGTCTTCACAGTATTTTAATTGCTGAACAAGGCCTGATCCAGACCATTTCTACTCATTGATTATCGTGAGTTCCCAGGTGGTCTGGTGTTGGATAACTGCAGGAGCTGCTAACATAATCCCTCATTTATGTTTCTGGTAGAGGCCTTCCTCCTACTGTGGAAAGCACAAAAATACCCAATGCTGCCTGATTTTAGACTGGAGTTGACTAATCATGTATGGTCTGATATGCTCTAGCCATTCTATACCATTTGACATGTCCATACTCAGATTCTGGACTGTGCTTGTTTTCTGCTTGACTTGGTGACACATATTCAATATGGGTGAAGAGTATACCCTGATACAGAAGGGGTGCAGTCTCCCATAGGTGTATGTTTATACTTTTCCATGGTATAGGATATCACACTCCATGAATTCCCTTTGGGTTCTTTTTGAAAGAGGCTCATCCACGTAACTTTTGCACTGGTCCCTCTACCATTTCGGTGTGGGATTCTAACTAATATGTGAACAGAGCTAAGGTATCATATTGGAACTTTACATTTTCGAACACTGAAAATGTATATCTGATGGATACTTACCTCCTCCTCCTCACTTCTAGTGCATCTTTTCTTGACTAACATCGAAGTGATGATTGAACAATCAATATAGAGGGAGTCGGCTGCACTGGGAGGGTGTATCACACTCCTATTGGTGGAGGTTGTTGCATTCTACAGCACAGCAATATCATGTGGGAACACGAGTTTATATGGGAGCCTCAAGACTAGTGGCAAGCAAAAACATTGTGCATATAGAGGGCAGCACAGATTAAAAAACTAATATGTGAGAGGAGGTATTTATCCAAAATACATTTTAATTGTTGAAAAATGTTAACTTTGACATGCTAACAGATAGGACCAATTTTCTTAACAAAAACAAAGTAAATAAAAGATAAAGTATACATTACTCTGGGAACCCACAAACACTAGTTGTATTGAACTGTTACCATAATGTCAAAGAACACAGCCCAAAATAATACAAAGGAAGTATTCTTCTCTAAGTAATACAGATCTCGGTGTGTTTTTTGGAGTTTATGAAGTTTGAAACCCAATTTAGTAAAATAAATAATTATTGAGCTATTCTGTTAATTGTACTAACTTTAAGTAAATCTGTAAGTATGGATAAGGATATGTGTGTGGTGTAGAAAGAATCATAATATGTTGGGATCACAGAATAGTCATTATTTGTTAAATTGTAGTTGAGAAAATACCTTGGTTTTCATATGAATTATATGTCATAGGAAGTAAACAGATACAAAAACAGGACCAGAGCTTACTTTTGAGGAATTTTTTATATGGTGTTCTAAAAAATAAAAGCATTTAATCAAAGAGTAATATTATTTCTTTTTATTGTGTGCAGATATCCTCTTTAACAGTAGACTGCATGGAAAACTATGAAAAGGCAGTTTGCAAAACATGTGATGCTGTGGATTCCAATACAAAGGTTTGTAAAATTCTACCTGGAGATAAGGTCATATTATATCTAGTTTAGAAACTTGTTTAAATTTTGTATGTGTGTATTTTTCGTCATTTTGAAAGTGTGCAACATAACCCTATTGCCGCGGGTATCCTTTACTGTGCATGACACAAGGTTTTAGTGTCTTACATTCAAAATTTTATTGAATTACTTTTTGCTTATGTTATACCAATTAGAATAGCATAATGTCTTAGCTAATAATCCATATTTTAATAATATACAAGGAAATATATAAAAAAATCCTGAATTTCCACTAGTGTGACCCACCCATATTTTATTCATCACTCCAATTTGTCTACTTTTTGCATGTTATTAGTTTATACTCTTTGGTGCATTATTTAATTAAATAAAAATTGTTAAGTGCTTTACTATAATTATTATAAAAATCAGGCTTAACTCTCGTCGACAAGCGAGGGCAAGAAAAAAGAAGATTGGATAAGTACTTTATTTCTTGTTTTTCATATTTATTTTTTATTTATTTATTATTATAAAGGTAAATAAAATTTAAAATATGGATCTTTTTAAGTTATTTAAGACTAGATTAGGTAAAATAAGTAATAATAATAATAATATAATTAAAATGGCTCATGAAGCACGCACGCGAGCAGCTTGTAGGTAATGTAATTCAATAGCGTAACGTGAGCTGCACATTCCCCGAGTTATTTAAAACTTATAATGGATGGATGGTAGTTAGACACGGTTCAAAGGGCAATAAAACAATAAAATTTAATTATAAATAGACATATAATGTTACTAACTTCGAGCTACTTAGGATAAACAAATGTAGTTTCATGTTACAATTTGAAATCATTCTAGAAAGAAAAAAAGTTAATTTAAGTTTATTTCGATTTTTTCTCTTTTTTTGTGGTTACGAGGTTGGTTGAATTGACTGATCCTGTTTTGAGATAGGGTAGAGAAAATAACAGATAAACTGTAAGGATTTAGTGAAAAAAAAGTTTGAAATGCATTTAGGAGGTTTTAGGGATTACATGAAGGAAATTTGAGAGTTTTTAGATGATGAAAAGTATTTTTATTTTTAACATGAAAATTACTTTCCATGGACTATTCAAAACAAATACTCAATATATTCATGGACAAATCTTTATTATATTTTATTAGAAATACTTAACTAAGAAATATGACTTTTTGTATGTGAGAGACTTGTAGTGGTAACTGAAATACTGCCAACTTTTGTGAAGATATACCCATTATATTGAGAGTTATAAGCATTGAATATATAAAGACTTTAAAAACATGTACAAAAGGTCATGTAACTTGGTCAAATTGACCAACCCCGTGTTGGGAGGGATAAGCCTGCCAAATTCTCCTATGTGCCTAAAAGTAGTCATTTTCATTTGGTCTGAAGTACTACTGTTACTTATCTTGGCCATTTTCTTTAAGTAAGTTAAAATGAGTACAGAGTCAAAACATCACACCTGGAATCTAGCTTTTTCAGTCTTTGTTGTTTATGCACTACATAAATCTACTATAAAAGATCGGTACTGAGCGACATGCAACTTGCACGAAATGACAGTGTTTTCTACCATGACAAGCAAGTTTGTCTTTTAAAATTCCTCGAGCCACATATAAATTGGATGATGCAATAATTTGGGCATATAATTAGATTTGGAGGTAGGTTGGTAGAGATCATGAGTAATAAAATGAAATTGGATGTACGTGTGCCCCATACTAGGTATTGCTGGTACACAGAAATCATAATCATTGGCTGAAATTTCCCATTACGTTTGTTTGGTTATCAAGGAGACAAACTGATACAACATCCCCAAATTTTTCCCAATCAGAAACAAAAGCAGGTAATTTTATTATGAATTTTAAGGTCTCTTTGGACTCTCTTCTTGGTTTTGGCATTGTTAGTTTGATGAGCTGAAGAAGAGCACTTTAATTTGGGCATTTTCAAAATTGAAATGTGCTGTGGGTAAAACATGCAGGCTATTATAGAGTTGTAGCCAGCAACATCACAATTTATAATTTGCAGGGTCTTACAATTGATCAAGTAGGAATATGTCTTTGAGAATCAATTGTTTTGCGTGTTTAATTTATAAGGATTTATCAAGAAGAAAGTTTGAACATAACTTAAAAATATACAGAAGTCAAAATGCTAATTAATCAATACTTAAAGGAGATGGCCAAATATAGATAAAAAATGTATAATATATATCTATTTACTTACTCAAAATAATAAATCTGTATTGCATCTGTAAATTATTCTTGAAGAAAGTTATGAGAAATGTATATGGAAATTATTTTGTTATTGCTTTTACAAATTTCATTACCTATAGTTAAAATTTAGTATAAAACTGTATATAAACTAACAATTTACATTTACCTACATAACTGTTAACATTCTTAGTTTTATAAAACTTATGCTGTAGTAGTATACTTGGCCAAATATCATATTCTTTAAACAAAGAAGTAGAGATAATGTTTCAGGTTTGAATAGGAAGCTTCTTAAACACACTGTGTACCTGATATTTGGGGTTTCTAACCTAATGGTACCTTATTTAACACATAAACAGGTCAGAAACTTCTAAAGTTCAAATGTCACCATCTCTGATATAGAAATATTGACAAGAGAGGGGAACCAGTCAGTAACACCCACCATCTTTGCGGCTGATATAACTGAATAGCTAGAATGAGTGTCACAGTTATAATGCTTCCATAGCTGGAAGTGCAGAGCATGTTCACCAGGATATTGATTGTAGTCAATAAATCTTCCACCAGTCAGCAGAAAACTGGTTTATTTCTGTTTGCAACATTAGCATTGCATTTAAATTTTGTTTCAAATTAAAGTCTTTTCCAAATATACCTCACTCGTATAATGTTTGAATATCAGAACATTTATATGAGCATTGACTATTATTGAAATTGGAAATGGGTTTGACATGTAGGTTATTAACCCTGTGTGAATGGTGTTGGTGCTTTGTATCAACCCAATTTTTATGAAGTTATATGAAGCAATGTTTACTATAATTCCAAATTTAATGTGTGTTTCTTCATGAAATGTGTCAGCCATGTAGTAATTACTATTAGATATAGTACAAAAAGTACCAAATTTTTTAAGAAATTTTACTAAAGATTTGTTTGTGAATTTATGAAGCTTTACTGAGTAATTCTGAGTGAAAGGTAATTTTCATGCTCAGAATAAAAACTTTTCTCAAAATATAGTTTTCATATTTAATTTGCATAACCTCTAGAATCTCCTAAATAAATATCAAAATTTTTTTTTTTCAGTATATCTTATTTGTTATTTTCTCTACCCTAACACTTACTGTAGCAACATCAGCAATGTTGGGTGAAATGGAAAGTTCAAAAATATAAAATATATTTAATTTACCCTTTTTTTCTAGAATGACTTCATATTTTAACAGACAATTATACACTATTTACTTTTACAACCAAATCTGGATACATTTGGTTTAATTGCTTACAGCTGCATTTAGACCCTCTCGGAATATATCAAAAACCATCTAGCACAGCTGGACATCTTTTTGTAAACAAACCAGCAGATTGAAAGTGTAATAAATATGAAGTACAAGTATGTTACATGAACATAGAATGTTATAATATTAACTATTGCAAGAAAGTTTTCATTTAATTTTTGTTTCATTTAAATGTTCTTATTCTAATAAATTTTTAATTTTACATTAAAATTATGTTTATATGCGTGAATAAAAAATATACATAAAAAAAAATCAAATTCATTACTTGTTCATCTGAACTCCTGGTTTTGCTGTTGATAGACAAAGCACTCTAGGTCTTTTTCTAATGATGTTAATGGTCCAAAATACATTAAATGCTTGTTTCAAATATGAAATTTTGAACACAAAACATTATCATTCCCAAATTATAATATACTGAACAATAATGATCATATACTTGAGGCAAACTGTCTAGAAATGCATGCCAAAAAGAAATAATCTTTAGCAGAGTTTTGTATGCGTCAAAATTCTCTTTCTATTTGTTATAAACATGTTTGTAAAAGAAGGATACTGATATAGATAACTTTGTTCAAATCTGTGACAAGAAGGGAGAAGCTTTAATGGTGGTTGTTCATTATTTATTCATGTCTCACTAATTTGAGAAAAGAGGGTGGTTTAGGTTTTATATTATGATCTGTCATTATCAGTAGTTTGGATTTCTGATTGATTGGCTTCTCTGACAATCTCTGAAGAGAGTGTAGAGAAAATAAAAAGAATCAGAGTGGAGATGCGTCACAACACACACAAGTCAAAAATTAAGAATTCTTTAAATATATACATTTTTTATGTTAAGAAATTAAAACTTAGATAATACAAAAATTGATTTAGAGACAACATTTTAATGCCAGATTTATTAACACACATCGGTAAGAAATATGTGGTGTGCACTTTTAACCCCTCTTTGTAATATAGTAATATAGAAAATATAATATGGTGAAAAACTCACCACATTAAAATAATTTTATTGGTAAACATGAAAACAATGTTTTGGGCAACCCTTCATTGGGTTTTAGTGAGAATAAAACTGTTGATAGACGAATTAGGATGAAAGAAAAAAAAGAATAAGTGAGACGTGGCTTGAAGGCTTGAGAACACGTTCTAAACTACAAACAAACTAAGGGAAGTAACATGTAAAGACAAAAATAATAATAATAACTAGTTTTGATACCTTTTATTGTTGCATCTCTTTGAACAATATTGCCCGATGCATGTGTTAAAACCACAACCTCCACATTTATATATGGTTCAATGGAAAATTCCAAATACAACAGTCATTCACTTGCATTTCAAAAAGGCTGATATATTGTGTGATCTGTAAAAAATGTTGTATGCTATACATTGGTAAAATGGTCACCACTTAGGAGATCGCTCATGTGAACATCTCTCTTATATGAGAAATAACGACGTTACAAAACCCACAGGTAGACGCTTTAATAACTATTCACATTGCATCTCCAACTTCTCCAT